GTGGTCTACACCTCACCTTCTGACAGTATGTAAGTGTCCACACTGTGACCTCTCAACTAGTGGTCTACACCTCACCTTCTGACAGTATGTAAGTGTCCACACTGTGACCTCTCAACTAGTGGTCTACACCTCACCTTCTGACAGTATGTAAGTGTCCACACTGTGACCTCTCAACTAGTGGTCTACACCTCACCTTCTGACAGTATGTAAGTGTCCACACTGTGACCTCTCAACTAGTGGTCTACACCTCACCTTCTGACAGTATGTAAGTGTCCACACTGTGACCTCTCAACTAGTGGTCTACACCTCACCTTCTGACAGTATGTAAGTGTCCACACTGTGACCTCTCAACTAGTGGTCTACACCTCACCTTCTGACAGTATGTAAGTGTCCACACTGTGACCTCTCAACTAGTGGTCTACACCTCACCTTCTGACAGTATGTAAGTGTCCACACTGTGACCTCTCAACTAGTGGTCTACACCTCACCTTCTGACAGTATGTAAGTGTCCACACTGTGACCTCTCAACTAGTGGTCTACACCTCACCTTCTGACAGTATGTAAGTGTCCACACTGTGACCTCTCAACTAGTGGTCTACACCTCACCTTCTGACAGTATGTAAGTGTCCACACTGTCGCTTCAACTTCACATCGTATCAGACTATGGAACAAATACTCTTCTCCAAGGTGAGGGACTAACCACCTCAGAATTATGTCTTCAAGGATGATGGACTGATTATATCGTCTTCACATCTCTACTGCTACTATCGAGTCTTCTGTATCTGAGTGAAGAAGTCTGCTGTGTAGTCGAAAAGTTTCGGAATAAAGATACCTAACTGTTGCACATATGTCTTACCATAGTAGTAGTAGTAGTAGTAGTAGTAGTAGTAGTAGTAGTAGTAGTAGTAATAGTAATAGTAGTAGTGGTAGTAGTAGTAGTAGTAGTAGTAATAATAGTATAATAGTAGTAGTGGTAGTAGTAGTAGTAGTAGTAATAGTAGTAATAGTAGTAGTGGTAGTAGTAGTAGTAGTAGTAGTAGTAATAGTAGTAGTGATAGTAGTAGTAGTAGTAGTAGTAATAGTAGTAATAGTAGTAGTAGTAGTAGTAGTAGTAGTAGTAATAGTAGTAATAGTAGTAGTGGTAGTAGTAGTAGTAGTAGTAGTAGTAATAGTAGTATAGTATAGTAGTGAGTAGTAGTAAGATAGTAGTAGTAGTAGTAATAGTAGTAATGTAGTAGTGGTAGTAGTAAGTAGTAGTAGTAGTAATAGTAGTAATAGTAGTAGTGTAGTAGTAGATAGTAGTAGTAATAGTAATAGTAGTAAGTAGTAATAGTAGATAGTAGTAGTAGTAGTAGTAAGTAGTAATAGTAGTAGTGTAGTAGTAGTAGTAATAGTAGTAATAGTAGTATGGTAGTAGTAGTAATAGTAGTAATAGTAGTATAGTGTAGTAGTAGTAGTAGTATAGTAGTAATAGTAGTAGTGGAGTAGTAGTAGTAGTAGTAGTAGTAATAGTAGTAATAGTAGTAGTATAGTAATGTAGTAATATAGTAATAGTATATAGTAGTAGTATAGTAGTAATAGTAGTAATAGTAGTTAGTGGTAGTATAGTAGTAGTAGTAGTTAGTAGTAATAGTAGTATATAGTAAGTAGTAGTATAGTAGTAGTATAGTAAGTAGTAGTAGTAGTAGTAGTAGTAGTAATAGTAATAGTAGTAGTAGTAGTAGTATAGTAGTAGTAGTATAGTAGTATATATAGTTAGTAATAGTAGTAGTAGTAGTAGTAATAGTATATGTAGTAGTAGTATAGTAGTAATATAGTAAGTAGTGTAGTAGTAGTAATAGTAGTATAGATAGTTAGTAAAGTAGTAGTAGTAGTAGTAGTAGTAGTAAGTAGTAGTAATAGTATAGTAGTAGTAGTAGTAGTAGTAGTAGTAGTAATAGTAGTAATAGTAGTAGTGTAGTAGTAGTATATAGTATAGTAGTAATAGTATGTAGAGTAGTAGTAGTAGTAGTAATAGTATATAGTAGTAGTATAGTAATAGTAGTAGATAGTAGTAGTATAGTAGTATAGTAAGAAGTAGTAGTAGTATAGTAGTAGTAGTAGTAGATAGTAATAATATAGTAGTATAGTATTAGATAGTAGAGTGTAGTAGTAATAGATAGTAGTAGTGAATAGTATAAGTAGTATAGTAGATAATAGTACTTAGTAGTAGTAGTAGTAGTAATAAGTAGTATAGTGGATAGTAGTAGTAAGTATAGTATGTAGTAGTAGTAATAGTTATTAGATAGTATAATATAGAGTATATATGATAAGTATAGTAATGTAGTATATAGTAATATAGAAGTACACTGTAGTATCCTCAAATAAAAAGTATTATACCAATTTAAAGATATACATTACGTGTAAAAGCAGCACTTTACTGTACTGTAGTTGATCCAGTGAAGAAGGGTGATCCCACTCCAAGTTTCAAGAACTATCACCAGAGTTCACCATCCCTGAAAGTTATCCTGGTAGTGAAACAATTCCGAGTGATGAATGGCAGCTGATGTTCCTGACACTTTCACATGGTGATGTACCACTAGTAACGTTTCTCCTCTCTGATATTCAAGGCCAATCCACATGTTCAATGCACCTCAACAAACGTACCAAAAACAGTACTTCTCGCTGGCCACTTCAAGCATCCACACTCAGGCAGACACACCTTTCCTCTCTCACAAGCACTCATACCTCGGTTCGTTCAAAGTAAATACAATGGTACATTGCTAGTTGTAGTGAGGCCACACTCTGTTACCTTCTACAACTCCAAATACCTTAAATTGCTCGATTACTTGACCTAAGGAGTACACAAACGCCAGGCCATCAAGTTAATTCTCTTTACAAGGTACTGCAAAGGTCAGTGCTTCTCCTGGATATTCCTACATGGTGTGTAACCAAACACACAGTTTACCTCCTGGATATTCCTACATGGTGTGTAACCAAACACACAGTTTACCTCCTGGTTATTCCTACATGGTGTGTAGCCAAACACACAGTTTACCTCCTGGATATTCCTACATGGTGTGTAACCAAACACACAGTTTACCTCCTGGTTATTCCTATTGGTGTGTAGCCAAACACACAGTTTACCTCCTGGTTATTCTTACATGGCGTGTAGCCAAGCACATAGTTTACTTTCTGGTTATTCTAACATGGTGTGTAGCCAAACACACAGTTTACCTCCTGGTTATTCCTACATGGTGTGTAGCCAAACACACAGTTTACCTCCTGGTTATTCCTACATGGTGTGTAACCAAACACACAGTTTACCTCCTGGTTATTCCTACATGGTGTGTAGCCAAGCACATAGTTTACTTTTTGGTTATTCTAACATGGTGTGTAGCCAAACACACAGTTTACCTCCTGGTTATTCCTACATGGTGTGTAACCAAACACACAGTTTACCTCCTGGTTATTCCTACATGGTGTGTAGCCAAGCACATAGTTTACTTTCTGGTTATTCTAACATGGTGTGTAGCCAAACACACAGTTTACCTCCTGGTTATTCCTACATGGTGTGTAACCAAACACACAGTTTACCTCCTGGTTATTCCTACATGGTGTGTAACCAAACACACAGTTTACTTCCTGGTTATTCCTACATTGTCATGTAGGGGGGTAATGATTAGGGGAATATGGGGGTAAGAGGAGGGAGTCAGTAGGTAGGGGACAGGCAGGCGAGTGGTAGGAGAGATGATTAGCGGAGGTTGGTAGGTAATGTGAGGTCACTGGTGACTACAACTTCACCTTTCATTACTCTACCCACCACTACACACTACTCACCCTCTCACTACTTTAACTAAACATAAATAAATGGAAATAAGAATAAATAACGGGGACAGTGAATATTACTATTCTACTCAAACACAATTTATTATTAAGTCCTTGTACAATAATATATATGGGAACAGGAGTACATCATTGGGGTTTAGATAAATGGGATGGTACACATAAGCAGTGAGACAGGGAACACAATCAACTTGACGAGAATGAATATAACTTACAATATAGTTCAGAGGACAGTTCACTACTGGAACTAAGCCACAGGTCCCAAGACCTACACAGCACGAGTACTGCGCCAAGCCAGTACTCTGCCCAATGCCTCCAACAGTCTCCTCCAGAGACTTCAGCAGCCTTCTCCCGAGCCCTGCACCCCAGCAGCAGCTCCGCTCGAAGTCTCTGCTCAGGAGCTCTGCACCCCAGCAGTAGCTCCGCTCGAATCTCCTGATCATGCTCTTCCTTGGGCTTTTATGGTGGTCCAAGCACCCTCCACAATGAGGTGTGCACACGTGGTGTTGATCTGACGCCGAGGTCTGACGCCGTCCAGAACAAAAGACCTCAGTCTTAAGCCGAAAAGGCGTGGCTCTGACAGACATTTGCCAAGGCAAGGTGACCATATAATTAGTTAAATTAGGTCTCCCCAGAGACCTCACAAGCCCAGCTGAACTACATCACAACATGGTGTGTAACCAAACACACAGTTTATCTCCTGGTTATTCCTACATGGTGTGTAGCCAAGCACATAGTTTACTTTCTGGTTATTCTAACATGGTGTGTAGCCAAACACACAGTTTACCTCCTGGTTATTCCTACCTGGTATGTAGCCAAACTCACAGTTGATCTAGTAATTACTTTCACCTGACAGGAGAGTATCACACGTCGTTATATCTACCTAGCAGGTAGATACAAGCAGAAGATCACGTGATTACCTCTCCCTGACAGGTAAATGCTGCAAGGGAGGTTGGTTTGCCTGGCGACGACTGCGCTATAACTACCTGCTATAGCACCAGCAGGTACTTCCTGCCCTACACAGACAGCTGTGGAGTTTACCTTGTGACAGACCTGCTGTAGCACCTGCAGGTAATACATGCTGTACACAGACAGGTGTGGATCGAGCACCCAAGTCATGACTAGCTGATGCTTCACACACACACACACATTACTAGGGAAGAGAAGCCACTTACCTGGACCTTGGGAGGTACATGGAGCCATCGATGAAGACTGATCCGGAGAGTAGAATGTACCAGCAGGTGGCCAGCTCCCCACGGCTGAAAAACAAACATTCTCATAACAATTGATCACTCAAGGCAACATCATTGATTTTCAACAAATTCATTAATAAACATAAAATAATTATTATAATTACTATTATTATTAATGTGTACTATTATTACAATTACTATTATCATTAATGTCCATTATTATTATTATTATTATTATTATTATTATTATTATTATTACCCCACCGTGTACATAGATAATTACTCGAAGTTACACATTAAGGGGGCTCTTGATCCCAGCAAGTGGAGCCACCTTTCTCTTTAAATCAGACCTGATCACCTCCCAAATTCCCATGGCGCGGTACGGCTCTCACGGGTTTAGCGCTACCTCAAGCTTACAACACAAATGAACTTCCGCAACAGAAACTCCGGTACGGAAACCGTGTTAAGCAGTGTCTGTTGAAGACTGTGCCTGAGAAACAGCATGTCGGTCACAGTAACCGTGAGAAACAGTATCTCGAACTTGAACTTATAACCAGAGTTTTGGTAAGAAGGGTATGGATAGAAATATGGGAAAAGGATGGGAGGGGGTATGAGGTAGGAAAACACTTACCCATCAGAGTCACACACATACAACAGATATATAGGAACATGACTCTAAATCGGTAATATATATACTAGTTCCCATTGCTTTTTTTTTTGGCGATTTCAGAACGATAACATTAACAAGGCAAGGCGATAATTATAAAGACAATTCATGAAAAATTACTGGACACATTGGCTTCTTTCAAGGTGATAAATATTTCGTAAATATAGTTAATTTAATTGTAGACGTGAAAGTAGAAAAATTATATACGATATCTCCATAATTAGAGGAGATAATATTCTTAGTAGATATAGAAGGGTTCTGGTGTTAGCCAATCATCTTCATCTGCAGGGAGGTTGCTCAAGATCATTGGTCGATGGTAATCGTCTTTATGGATGAAGCGACACAGCCTCTGTGGGAGAGTCATTCTTTGGGTCCTGTGAGGAGGAGTGATTCAACTTGGGGACGATGTTCTCTATCTGGTATGTAGAGTTCTTGTGTTGCATAGAGTTGCCTCTTTTTCACATATTAGAATCAGTAACTGTGAGAAACAGTATCTTAGTAGCAGTAACTGTGAGAAACAGTATCTTAGTCACAGTAACTGTGAGAAACAGTATCTTAGAAATAGTAATTGTGAGAAACAGTATCTTAGTCACAGTAACTGTGAGAAACAGTGTCTTAGTCACAGTAACTGTGAGAAACAGTATCTTAGTCACAGTAACTTTGAGAAACAGTGTCTTAGTCACAGTAACTGTGAGAAACAGTATCTTAGTCACAGTAACTGTGAAAAACAGTAGATTAGTCACAGTAACTGTGAGAAACAGTGTCTTAGTCACAGTAACTGTGAGAAACAGTATCTTAGTCACAGTAACTGTGAGAAACAGTATCTTAGTCACAGTAACTGTGAGAAACAGTATCTTAGAAACAGTAATTGTGAGAAACAGTATCTTAGAAACAGTAATTGTGAGAAACAGTATCTTAGTCACAGTAACTGTGAGAAACAGTATCTTAGTCACAGTAACTGTGAGAAACAGTATCTTAGTCACAGTAACTGTGAGAAACAGTGTCTTAGTCACAGTAACTGTGAGAAACAGTATCTTAGTCACAGTAACTGTGAGAAACAGTATCTTAGAAACAGTAATTGTGAGAAACAGTATCTTATTCACAGTAACTGTGAGAAACAGTATCTTAGAAACAGTAATTGTGAGAAACAGTATCTTAGTCACAGTAACTGTGAGAAACAGTATCTTAGTCACAGTAACTGTGAGAAACAGTATCTTAGTCACAGTAACTGTGAGAAACAGTATCTTAGAAACAGTAATTGTGAGAAACAGTATCTTAGTCACAGTAACTGTGAGAAACAGTATCTTAGTCACAGTAACTGTGAGAAACAGTATCTTAGAAACAGTAATTGTGAGAAACAGTATCTTAGTCACAGTAACTGTGAGAAACAGTGTCTTATTCACAGTAACTGTGAGAAACAGTATCTTAGACACAGTAACTGTGAGAAACAGTATCTTAGTCACAGTAACTGTGAGAAACAGTATCTTAGTCACAGTAACTGTGAGAAACAGTATCTTAGAAACAGTAATTGTGAGAAACAGTATCTTAGTCACAGTAACTGTGAGAAACAGTGTCTTAGACACAGTAACTGTGAGAAACAGTATCTTAGTCACAGTAACTGTGAGAAACAGTATCTTAGTCACAGTAACTGTGAGAAACAGTATCTTAGTCACAGTAACTAAGAAACAGTATCTTAGAAACAGTAACTGTGAGAAACAGTAACTGTGAAAAACAGTATCTTAGTCACAGTAACTGTGAGAAACAGTAACGAAATCACAGTAACTGTGAGAAACAGTATCATATATACGAGGAAGCGCTAAACTCGTAAGGGTTATACGTCTGCTGGACAACTGTAGTAAATATGGTTTGATCCAAAGTAGGGAAATGATGGCTCCAGTTCCTCGCATCAGGAGCCAACCCCCACCGCAAGAATCAGTGGGATAAGGTACACTTGTTAGTGGCAGCTGGAAATGTATCTCCTGCCGAGTCTTTTGCTTGCGTAGGGAGTGATTTTCGTGTGCAAGTTTGGTACTAATCCCTCTAGCAATGTCAAAGTGTATATTATTATATATCCTTCTCGCCTGCGTTCCAGGGAATATAAATTAAGGGACTTCAACCGTTCCCAGTAATTTAGGTGCTTTATCGTACTCATTTGTGTCGTGAAAGTTCTCTGTACACTCTCCAGGTCAGCAATTTCGCCAGCCTTGAAGGGAGCAGTTAGTATACTGCAGTATTCCAGACTAGAAAGAACAAGCTATTTTTAGAGAATCATCATGGGCTTGGTGTCCCTAGTTTTGAAGGTTCTCCTTTTCCATCCTATTTTTCTAGCAGATGAGGTAGATACATTGTTGTGGTCTCTGAAGGTGAGATCCTCTGACATTATCACTCCCAGGTCATTCACATTAGTTTTTTGCTCTACTGTTTTATACCCCGATACAGTTTTAATTTCCTCAAGGTTTCCATGTCTGAGTAGTTGAAATTTCTCTTCAGTGAACTTCACATTGTTTTCTGCGCCCCATTTGAAGACGAAGAGAAATGTGATGGTATTTTCTGGGAAATGATAGTGTGAAGAGAAACGTATCTTGCCAAGATACCGGCAACTGGAAGAAGTCTTCCACTTTGTACCAAGATTTACGACCATTGTGTGGCTGGTGAGATATCGTCCACACACGAAGAAAGTCTTCAGATATGGCAAAAGACGAGGAGAAAGTCTTAAGATATGGTAAGATACGAAGAGAAAGGCCTAAGATATGGCAAGCCTCAAAGAAGACAGAAAAAAGTACCATTCTGATACCCCTGAGAGACGAACATATAGTGGCTTGACACGGTCAAGACACTAAGAGACGATCTACACATACTGTCAAGTCAAAAAGAGGTACGACAATATTAAAATACCGTCCAGAAGCGAAGAGGCAACCAGAAGATACTGTCAAACTTAGGAAGCCTTGAACACACACACACACACACACACACACACACACACACACACACACACATACACACACAAAACTCGTCCATATCATCAGCAAACAAAACTGACAGTATAAGCAGAGGCAAAATTGTTTTACCACACATACACACCAAGTGCTCCCGGGAGAGTGGACAAGACGCAGCACAGGGCTCCAGGGATATTGTTTTATTCCAGTCTCCCCTCAACACCTCACACGCTTTTAATGTATTTAAAATTCTTGCTACAATATTTTGTGTGTTCTAAAAGGGGAAAAAACTGTGATATTTCACAATATTTTCACTTTTTTCCTTTTTGGTTTTTTTTTCACAAGCAATTTTAAGATTTTTTTTTTTTCACTTGCAATTACAGGATTTTTTTGTTACATATTTTATATTTTGAAAATTACACAAACACCCCGGAAATGTGCACAAACACCCCGGAAATGTGCACAAACACCACGGAAATGTGCACAAACACCCCGGAAATGTGCACAAACACCACGGAAATGTGCACAAACACCCCGGAAATGTGCACAAACACCCTGGAAATGTGCACAAACACCCTGGAAATGTGCACAAACACCACGGAAATGTGCACAAACACCACGGAAATGTGCACAAACACCCCGGAAATGTGCACAAACACCCCGGAAATGTGCACAAAAACCACGGAAATGTGCACAAACACCCCGGAAATGTGCACAAACACCACGGAAATGTGCACAAACACCACGGAAATGTGCACAAACACCCCGGAAATGTGCACAAACACCACGGAAATGTGCACAAACACCCCGGAAATGTGCACAAACACCCTGGAAATGTGCACAAACACCCTGGAAATGTGCACAAACACCACGGAAATGTGCACAAACACCACGGAAATGTGAACAAACACCCCGGAAATGTACACAAACACCACGGAAATGTGCACAAACACCACGGAAATGTGCACAAACACCACGGAAATGTACACAAACACCACGGAAATGTACACAAATACCAAGAAAATGTACACAAACACCTCGGAAAAGTACACAAACACCCAGGAAATGTACACAAATACCAAGAAAATGTACACAAACACCACGGAAATGTGCACAAACACCACGGAAATGTGCACAAACACCCCGGAAATGTGCACAAACACCCCGGAAATGTGCACAAACACCACGGAAATGTGCACAAGCACCCCGGAAATGTGCACAAACACCACGGAAATGTGCACAAACACCCCGGAAATGTGCACAAACACCACGGAAATGTGCACAAACACCCCGAAAATGTGCACAAACACCCCGGAAATGTGCACAAACACCACGGAAATGTGCACAAACACCCTGGAAATGTGCACAAACACCCCGGAAATGTGCACAAACCACGGAAATGTGCACAAACACCACGGAAATGTGCACAAACACCCCAGAAATGTACACAAACACCACGGAAA